CCACGGGCAGCCCTTTTTTTTATTAGGACAATGAATAGTAAGTGCTTGGATCAGACGCCTGGCATTCCTATCAGGGTTTGACTCGAAACCATCCCTTCCACAATGAAAACAATGGTCATTAGTTTCAGTTTCCTTATACATTCTATTGCAGGTAGCACATAAGAGCAATCCACAACAGGTGGTTTGGTAGACATCTTCCAACATCAGAGATTTGCAAATGGTACACTTTGTCTGACAAGGGGGTTCTTTGATAAACTTGATTTCTTCTTCATTGAAAACAATTTCTTTTTTGGAATTTTGGGTCATACTGGCCATCTTTCTTCAAAATATCACGAAGATGTGTGGTGGGACAATATTTCAGTCACACCACCTCATGATTATATGTCAATTGTTGGCATTCACTTCCGGCAAATTGGATTACAGTTACTGGGATAAACAAACCGGCAAAACTGCCTCCTCCCTTCACTTCATATCATGAATACAATCTTATAGTACTTTTGTTGTTATTGTGTATATGATAGCTACAGATTACAGTTAAGTATATAAAGTTTTAAAATTCTATCAGTTGAATATATAGAATCATAGATTGTGAGATCTAGTCATCTTCTCCGCCCACCACTTGGACTGTAGTGCGTGGCCTGTATTTCGGATTAATATGACTCGTGGTAGGATCAACGAATAATGGATTGTCCCCACTCTATAGGGAAAGAGAGAGAGAGATCGAGGTTATTGTACATGTACATGTACTACATATATTATACATAGGCGGCAGAACAAAATTTATTTTGGGGGGGCTGAACATCAATTAAGTTATTAAAATGGGTGTGGTTTTATACAAAAATGGCTGCTAATTTTACAAAAAATGGTGCTAATCTTCTATTGTTGGATTTAGAGTAGTTTTCTTGTCTTTTTCTTTAAATAAAATGAAGAGATGATGACTGCAGGTCTAATTTTATTTATAAAAGTCAGTTTTATTATCTTTGTTAGTCAGTTGCAGAGAATTTCTGGGGGGGCTCAGCCCCTCCTGTTTCAAGACTGGGGGGGCTTTAGCCCCCTCTGCCCCCCCTGTTCCGGCGCCTATGATATTATAGTGGAAGTTATTTTAGACTGTCATGTAGGTCTACATGTAATTTGGTGGCTTCTACATTTGATGAATTTACAGTTACATGAGCATGCTAAAATGCTGAATTTATTATAGCATGAGAGATTTGCCAAAATGACAAATTTTTAGTTATTATTATTATTTCTTCTTTCTTTCTCTCTCTCTCTCTCTCTGCCTCTTTTTCTCTTACAGTGTTCCACAGTTCGTCCTCTTGGCTTTTCTTCCATGCCCTAAACTCTAAATATTCCTACATAAAGTAACAATGATAATAATGACACTATAATAATATTATTTCTATCTTTCTTACAATCAGATACTTCATTGCAACCCAGAGTGCTATTACAATGATTGCTAGCAGTATGATTCCTATTGTAACCACTAGCGGAATGACAAATATTGGAAAGGAGGAGCTACAACCAGCTACAGTAAAGAAAATAAATTTATAATAGCACTTCGATGAACGAGATTTGGATCTGCATGTACTATTGTAACAGTTTTATTTTTAAAATTAATGATAGATTATTAATATTTAATTTTTACTGTTTTTATGAGTACAAATCTCTTTCTAAATTTGTTTTAATTATTAGAATTAATATATGCAGAATTAGGACTTCATAGTGCACAGTATTTCTTACCACTCCAGTCGTTGATGTCACTCTGTGTCTCATCGAAGATGACCATTATATTCCCTTCGGTTCCAAGGACATAGACTCCTACTTGATATGTGACCTCACAGTTGTCCTCTGTAATGGAGCAGGTCCTTAGTTCTGGAAGAGAGGAATTAGCAGAGACAAAAGTGAACAGCTAGTGTATCATTTACAATAATTATAATTATTATTTTTAATATTTTAGAGCATCAGTAGTGGTGGTTTTATTGCTATGTAGTGGACATGAAGTATAGAATAATTATTGGGTAACGTACTACTGTAGAATTTAGAATTATTATTATTATTATTATTATTATTATTATTATTATTATTATTATTATTATTATTATCATAAAATACGAAACAAGGAACATAATAATTATTATTATTGATTATTATTATTATTATTATTATTATTATTATTATTATATTACCTTCATCAGTATTATTGTGTTCGCTAGGTGATACAATGCTCACATGATCACAACTCGAGGGACAATTCTGCTCAATATGACAACGGACACAGCTGGAGAGGAATGAGCAGGACCTGGCACAAACCTTGATATGTAAGAGAGAGGGAGAGAGAGAGAGGGAGAGGGAGAGAGAGGGAGAGAGGGAAGGAGAGAGAGAGAGAGAGGGAGGGAGGGAGGGAGGGAGGGAGGGAGAGATCAGCTCTCGCGTACACGTGGCACAAAGTACAAAATTTTTGACGGTTATTAAATTTGACGTTTTATTTTAAATCGTCAACTCGTCAAAATAAAACCTTCGTCAATAAATCCCGCTATACAGTACTTTCTATTTCTACTATACAATACCTATACTATAACCTAATGATAACTATACCTGCTTCCTAAACTTGCGATACTGATCAATGTATTGGTAGGTTTGTAGTTTTAAAAATTCACAAAAAATCCAATTGCGATTAGAATCCACTCAAACTTTCTACACAACATGTATATGGATTGGTTAACAAAGAATGCATAGATAAGTGCTCTTAGTATCACTAGTAGTAATAGCCACTAGTGAACCCAGCAGGATACAATGATACTAGTCAGGCTAACTATCCTCATGTGACACAAATTAATGATACCAAGTACATGTACATTACCTTTATTTTGTATATGTACCTTCATATTAATGCTCTCAGACATTGTATTGTATGGATATTGGAGGGTTGGTAAAATGGCAACCCGCAGTGGTGCTCC